CTGCAGTCTTACTGAATAATTTTCGCGATCCGGAACTAGGAAAATGACTGTACCAAACCTATATGAACAAGAGACCAAAGGAGTTTTGTCTTGTGACGGGAAGCGCTGTTGATGTACACTTGCATGACTGTATTTGTAACTATCAAACCCTGTCGGCCTAAATGACTTTTGTGCAAAATAAGTCATGCTTACTGTTTGAATTAAGAGTATTTTTGTCAAATAAAACAATATGAATGAAAATTACTTTATGTCAGGATTGACGACGAAGCGAGAGCGGACTGTGTAATATTCCAGCAGTACTGGGACTCCACACAGCGTGCGTTAAGTAGTGATCACGCACAAATTGTGCGGTTGATCAGCCTCTTTTTATAATCAAAGCACTTAATATGCGCTACAAACCCAAAGAGTTAGAGAACCAGTTTAGTTAAGTTGTATACCAAGAAATATTCCGTTTCAAAATTTTTTTTAGATTAAAGCAACTTGAATTTCCTCAGTGATTCAGTGGAACTGTGGATGAGGAATCGACCAAAAGAGCAGGAATGATGTTTTCTGTATGTACTAAAGCATTTCAAATCCAAGTATTTTTTCATTCGAAAAAAAGGAAATGTTGACAGGTGCAAGTCATAATACAGTCGGCCAATCAAATGTCACTTGTCAAAGTACTTATACATCAAAATCTCGACAACTGAACCTCAGGGTAATGGAGTTATCCTGAAAAGGTATAAACTAAACCACTTCATCGTGGTACGTACCTTCGTGTGGCAAAACTTTCATATCACTTAGTCATTTAACAACGTGAAGCGCTGCTATTTTTTTCACTTGGGCTTCCCTATGTGTGGTCACATAACCTTTCTTTTTACGGTCACATGGCCGCTGCAGTGTCAGCGATTGGACTGCCTGAAAGGAACTACAATTGGGCCCGCGTTGCAATCAGGTTAGTTCCAGCGTCTTGAAAGCCAGAATTACACAGTTGCAGCTACGACGATTTATGCAATGTGCTGGTCCTCGTCAGAAAAGAAATGAACTTGCGATGACTCCTAACCCTATATAGACTTCCGATACTTTCAACGCCGTTTGAAGCATTTTTGTGGCGATTTTTTGAATCAGAAACTTCAAAATAAGTGGATGTAATGGTGTGGGCACTGTTCGAGTAACGGTGGTATTTTTGTACATAAAACTTTAAGCCTTTTAACGTACATAGCACTGACCTGGTCCGCACGTGACACGACCAGCGCTCACCATTTGTGCACGTCACATGCGTTTCGCATGTATGTGGTCATGCAACATCCGGGACATTTCCTTTGAGCGTTTGCAGGTGCGTATATCATGTAGGTGGTTTGCAGCTCTGTTCTTTTTTCTGACGTTCCCCATGAAGATTTGTTTTTCTGTTTCATACACCCACAACAAATTTGCAAACTGAAGGTAACAATTTCATTTGATAAAAAGGTAGGAGAGATTAACGCTGACGCTTAGAACAATGTTCTGCTTGCTTCCTATGTACCAAAAAGAACCATGTTTCAGGCACATGATCCACCGGGTCGCGCGCAATGCTATTTGTTATTAGACGATCTCTTTTCCTGGCACCCGATGTTAACAAAAAACGGGTACCCGGTTCTAAAACTACCCGCAAATAAAGGTGTTATTTTCGTGAAATAAAATGGCTTTTCCCCCCAAATGTCGCTTACTGTTGTTAGCAAAATTGTATTTTAGGCATTATATTGCTATCGAATTGCATTTCTGTTAACTTAGAACATGATTTGGGTGTGTTGACGGCGTGTTGACGTTTATATCATGTGTTGACACATGTTGACGTTGTGTTGACGTTAATTAGTACGACCGCCCACAGCAGTTCATTCAAAAATGCCTTCTATGAAACCCCTTTTGTGTGTATGGATCACTCACCCCATCAATACTCTGATACTTTGAGCGATTTCCATTCCAAGTCCATGAAACTTCGGTTTTGATTTGGGCCATTCATTTACGGAGCCAGACAGCATCGGGTATTTTCATGGGAGCACATCATCATCAGGTGGAATGGGGATTGGATGTGCGAATGGTGTTCGCTCCTCCACACTAGTATCTGGCAACAAGTTTACATTCGATCCCAAGCATCGTATGCATTTCGGTTCATCATTTATCAACGTCTGGGGACGCTGTGAGCTTTCCAGACCAAACAGATCCAAACTGTGTTCTGCATCGGTCAGTGATCGGGAGTTAATCATTGTAGTAAACGAATAGCCCAAAAGCCAAATCGAGACAAACATTTCTACAAATTTTGAAATTGCCCAAAGTAATACATTAGAATATAGAGGGATTTCACATTAGCTCCGTCTGTGCATATCTGCATCGAAACCGAGGCTCTCTGTGTTGAACTTCGTCGCACGCGCCCACGGAGTCGACACAGTACATGGAGTATCCAGTTCGTAAGTGTGACGCCACTTCAATTAAAACCACGCCCACTGCACAAGATGCACGACCATCGCAGATACGTTAGTTGCGGTCAATCGTCGTTATTTTTTCTTCTGATTTTACGGGTTGAGTCATCCTGAAAGACTCTTCCACAAAAATTTGCAGTCTGAAAAGTCTGAATTCAACATACATTTGTACCTTTATGTATTTTGTGCCTTAACTCCTTACTTTCAATCGTCTGATCGTCCTAGCTGAAGCTGACACATACAGCCTCGTTTTCAAACAAGAAAGTGCGCAGATCGACGCTAACAGCATCGCATTGGGATCCCCCTATTGACGGGGTGAGTGATCCATGCACACAAATGGGGTTTCACAGAAGGCACTTTTGCTGAGTCCCCACTCTTTGAATGGACCGCTGTGGGGCCTAGGATACGGAGGGAGTCCAGTAGACTGGCCCCCAGTCTGCGGCCAGTAGTTAGCCTACTCGGGCCACCATGTATGTATGATGAACGGTTCCTTCGTCCATGCTTAAAAGTAACCATGGAGGTAGTTTCCTACCTCCACGAAGTAACTTAGATTACAATTAACAATGAAGGGATAAGGATAAACTTACCTTTAACGTCATTTGCAAATATCTTCCACGTTGGAGCAAAATTCACGCAGTGACCACACCAACTTGAGTAAAACTGTACAAACCAAGCCTGATCGGAGCTATATATCGCTTCTTTTAATGTGGTGTTATCAAATATAGACAGGCCCAGTTTGCCTATGTCAGAAACATCATACAGCGAATCGACAGGCTTACGTGGAATGTTTACAGAATAACAACGCAAAATGTCACTATTAAATATGAAAAATGCAATCCACGAGTATTTCCAGAACACGAAGGTTCGACGTCCTACATGTCCGAGGGCAAGGATGCCCATTTTCCTAGTTCCTACAAGTACATGTACAATCCTACTGCCGAAAGTTCTTCGTCCTGCCGCTATGATTTATGTGGGATAAGGTCAACTCGGATCCAAACCAACTCGGATCCATTCCAACTCGGACCCACGACCAACTCGGACCCACGCCAACTCGGACCCAATACTAACTCGGACCCACGACCGTACCATCCCGGACCCACAACCAACTCGGACCCACGTCAATTCGGACCCACGCCATTTCGGACCCACCTCGAGTCAACTCGGACCCACTCAGTCTTATGGTTGCATTACACCAAATACGCGCCCGTAGACCGAAATAGCGCCGACTCTTAAACCTCGCGAAGAGGTTGGCCTTAATTTTTTCGCTGGAAATTCAAGATTATTGCCAGATTGATCACTTTTCATTTCAATTTTATGAACTTTTTTATTCGCCTTTTCCTGAAGAAACTCCCCCTAATAGTAGTAAAACTATGCGCTCATATGGATGTAGCCGCCTGCCTCTATCCAAAATAGGCACGCATTGTGGGGCTTTTTGTGAAAGAACTACTCTGAACCGGAAACTATCAATCCCAAATTCGGGATTTATATAAATAATTCTATGATCCCTCGTGATTATGGGCACGTCTTATTGTAGAAAATAAGAAACCGTGGCATCACAAAATATTAATAATGAGCTCGCGAGCAGAAATACGACGCTTCAAAACCGTCTCCAAGTTTAAGCCAATGGGAAATATTCCACATTTTTATTTCAAAATGATTTGATTTGTATTGCTCGAAATTACCAACCTATTTGCGTTATTTGGACAGTCAGTTAAGGCCTGTATGGATGAAATCCTCCATCTGCCTAAATCTTGCCGGTATGGGGGGGGCAAGGTGGAGGTGTAAGACTTGCCAGGCCCCCCCCCCAAAAAAAATGAAAAGTGAGGTGGGGGATAACACCATGAGACACTATTAAAGGTCAATGTTCGTGACATTGATGTATATCTGCAGTATCTGTTGTACGTATGCAGCATCTCTTATGTACATCAGAAGGCCTATCTGTGGCTTTTTATTGCAACAAAAACTTTAGGGGCTGTTTGGTGAAAGTTCATTCGATTTCTGCTGGTGATCTTGAGTGCCAAAAAAACGTCGGAGAAAGGGCGTCAATGATTTGGTACTGTCAATCACACTCCAAAAGCTGCTCCCATTGGTTGTCCCAAGCTCCCACTCCCCGATCATACGGTTTCAAGAATGGTAGGTGACAAAACCAGTCTCTGTGGTTAATCACGCCGGTACCCTGGAAGCTAATACCTGATTAAGATTCCAGGTTACAAGCGGCAGATAAGACATCAAAGGAAACGCGCCTTCATGAAAATACGACGCTCGCCGGTTACTTATCACTTGTTCCAAGACATCACTGATATCAAATCTAGTCCTGTACGGTTTTTAACCACCATGCCTGTTCAAACTCGAAAACGGAAAAATTCTGGGAAGCCTGTGCCACTGTTTCCCTGCATAACATGTAGAGAGGACGTTAAATCTCGGCATCATGCAGTTCAAAAGTGTCATTTACCAAATGTTAAAATGTAAAAGTGGACAAAATAAACATTTTCAACAAGTTAATCACGCTCCTGGGGTTGCGCCCGAGTTGACTCAGGGTGGGTCCGAGTTGGTCGTGGGTCCGAGTTAGTATTGGGTCCGAGTTGGTTGTGGATCCGAGTTGACTCGAAACCATTTATGTCTGTGGTCTGATCCAGCCACAGACGGCCGGGTGCGTTCGATAAGCTTCCCTGTATACACCAGTGTTACACGCAAGGGAAACCTCGAGATGAGGCTAATCGAACGCTGCAGTGTATTCGCCAAGGTATTCTGGGAAAGAGGTCAAGTCTTCGCCACGTTCCATCACGTCCATGCACGAAAAGTCCATCCGTGACGTCATTACACTCGGGCGGCCTCCAGGTAGAAACACATAGAACAACATGAATTTTTCTTGATCTGCGCGGTTCCCGACTAACATCAAAACTATGGGCAAATTAACCCCCCCCCCGTATACACTAACTATCTGCTCCGAGCAGGCACAAAAGATGGCGTGTTTTGAAATGAAGTTGACAGTCATATTTAGTACTCAAGTACCGCATAGGTGCGCAAGTTTATGCGCGTTTGAATTGACGCGGAGCACGCTCAGTACACGCAACGATTTTAGTCTAGAATCTGTGGCCTTTGCGTGCACACGCCGGACAAGTGCTAGAACCCAGTTGGAAAACTTAGGTCGTTTTCCAATACTCAACTTCGTCTCCGTCGGAGGCTTCGTCCCCGAAGCCGATCCCTGAGTGTGAGCGTGAAGCGTTTAAATTAAATTGAATTACTGTAATTTTGGGTTCTCTTGCATCTTAGTTTATATTTTGTGGAACTAATTAGTGCGTTTACAGCTTCAAAGTCAGGTAGTAAAAGAAACAAAACAAAACAAAACAAAACAAAAGTTGAATCTGAGACGGGGCCGAAGTTGAGTATTGGAAAACGGCCTTAGTACCATCTGTCTTTCTTTCTTTCGCCAGTGAGGATGCACTTCAGCTCAGGGCCGGTATGACAGGTGAAGAATTCCAACCATGAAATTCCAAGAGGCCATTTGTTTATTGGGGAAAAAAATCTGACTTACTTACTTAATCTGGCCAATGGGGATTCAAAACAATGCGGTTGCAACTACTGAAAGAAAGAGACAGCAGTACTGGAGAGGCAGGAGGCGGATGTGGAGTCAAGTATTGAAATAATTGTGTTTTATTCAATTCTGAAAAGAATCAAATCGGGAAAAGGAAAAGCAATAAGTAACAGTTTTAATCAACAGATCTGGTTACGGCGTTGTAAAGATAAATATATATGTATAGGCCTAACATATACATTTGGTAAAGTAGAGCCAAGGTCAAATCACGTAACAGCTTATTCGGATCGAACTAGACAGACACATAGGCCTAAATAAACTTACAACTTTTCACCCCAACAGTCCACAGTATCAAGCCGTTCACCAGTCGTAAACAGATTCAGATTCAGCAGCAGCGACAGATTCAGATTCAACAGCACCGACAGATTCAACAGATTCAGCTAGGAGAAGCAGTAATACAGAACGATCCTTAAGTCGGGGTAACAGAATAAACCGTGCGTTCCTAGGACAAAAACTTCCATGAATATAACTCAGCTTTAACGGTGAAGGACGCACACTTTCCAGCGAAAAATCAGAGTTCAGAAAAAAACATTCATATTTCTAAACACGCAAATAGGCACAGATACCTGAGAAAACACACCGATATCATTCAAATCTATATCAGATTAATAATTATAACAGAAAACCATGAACAATTGACTACTTACAGAAATAACACCTTTAAGAACGGCAACTGCACTTAAACGTCCAAACTGTAAACGGGTAACTGGCAAAGTGGGGAAAATCAGCGTAAAGAAAAAGAAAACATCAAGATTCGATTTGAAGCGCTATTTAAACACTGTTGAGCGCGCAAGTCAAAGCGCCCTCAACACCTGTTCTGTTCCTCAGCTGAACACCTACCAAAGAGCAAAAAAAATGGAAAAGTAGGTATATACACGTATGTAATTTTCTTAAATAGGGTTTTTATATCGGTATATTTATATTTATATCAGCATATCTATATTCAAGTATTTTATGTAGGGTTTTAAGTCAACTCGTCTTGAGAGCCCCTCGACAGTAATCTTTTTCTTTTGGGCAGTCCACCGGGACTGGTTGGGTTTGTCCTTTGTTCCATCGTGTACATTTTACTGTCTGTTTTATTATTTACCTTTATTTCCCGAGAAACGAAATGAAATAAATAAATAAACGTATTTGTACCAAAATAGCGCTGCCTGTTGACAATCATGAAGAGGTTGGCCTCCGTTTTTCCACCGGAAATTCAAGATTATGGCCAGAAGATCACTTTCGTTTCAATTTCATGGCGGTTAGCCACGAAAAAAATTTAATTCGCCTATAAACGAAGATATCCCCCAAATAGCAGTAAAACTAAGCGCTCATTCCTGAATGTAGCCGCCCGCC